GGCACCTGCGCTGGAACCGAGCGCTGGCTTTTGGGGAGACTTGCGCAGGAACACGTTCAAAAAGCCCCTTTAGGATTGTGAGGGGGGGGGAGAAAAAAGAATGGAGGCCTTAATTTCAACAATGTGGAATATAAGGCAGATTTTCACACTAAAATTTCAAAACAAAAACAGGAGGGCATAGATGCAATCATTGGGAAATTTTCATGCACGCTTAATATGTTATTACATATGTTTATATAAAACCCATCTCTGTGTGCTTTCTGGACTGTGGTAAGTGACGTTTTATAGCCTGTTGTATAGAAAATGCAAAATATATCTCTGCTCTTCAGCCATTTTTGGTAAATTCAATGTTATAAGTGTTGCTAAGTAGAGGGAGTTTTATGACATCGGAGCAACAATTATTTCAGGGTTTGGGTTTTGTTTTATTTTTATTTTGTTTTTATTTTTATTTTTTGCCATCATTATAAATTGCCACAATTACTTACTTTTTTAAATAAAGTTACAATGTAGTGTTTATTCTAAGAAAGATATGTATGAATGTATATAAAAAGATTCAGCTACATTTTTTTTCTTACATGTACAGCCTTCATTCTGTTGCAATTAAGTTTTAGTATTTGTATGAAAGGTTTGAATTAGAAGGTAAAATATATACATATGTATCTTATAATCTTTTTTCTCCCCAAAATACTCACAGTTCCCACATGCATTCGCTATTCACAATCAACGATACACACACGCGTGCATACACACACACACACAAATCCAGAGTAATCCATCAGATATAATGAAATACCCAAACATACATATACTAACAAATAATTACTGACAAATTGAAAAGCAGGAAGGAAGATAGTTGTGCCAAGGTATCAATGACAGATGGGGTGATTTGCTTCATTGAGATCATAATCCCAAGAAACCCCAAGAAGATATTTTCCTAATGAAATGGAACCTTTTCTAATCAAATAGAATATCAGTGGTATCTTACTGCATGGATATGAACCATTATATGGGAGGTTACAGAAGCAAAATTGGTTGATACATACCTTAACCCTGGTTGCTGCAATTGAAAACTTTGTTTCCAATAAAATTATTTTTTTTCTCTGAACCTAATGTGCATGATAAACATTTTGGAAAGTAAACAGTTTCTCAACTAAGAAAGTATTTTCAGTAATTTTTTATTCTGTATTATTATTCATTTAAAAAAACACCATTCTCTATTTGTTGATTATTGACTACATTTTAACTTTTGTGGTTTTACACATATATCATTAAATATAGTTTTAGTTTAACATATTAAATAGTAGGAAAGTATAGATTATACACTTGTTTTTGCATATGGTTTCAATGATGTTCATAGCAATAAATTATCGGTATGAGAAGGTAATGCAAAAAAAAATGCATTATTATTGGAAGGTGATGCCTCAGTATAAATTGATTGCATTACTTTAACATCTCCTAAAATAATATTAGATTTCATAGACGAGAAGAACACCTTTACAATTAGCTTTAATCAGCAAAGGCAAAAAAATGCAAAACATCTTTTGTAATACTTTAGTTGATGAAAAAAAAAAAAAAAAAAGCCAAGAAGTGGCCTGGATTTCAGACATACACCTTAGAAACATAGCAAATCGCCACTATCTATGGTTGCCAAGTAATTGTTGTAAATGAAAAGTTTTAAAGGCTTTTCATGACCCAGAAAGTAGAGGTATAAAACTAAAATGTAATCCATTACTTGTGTTTCAGAAATTTTTTTAAAAAATTTGTTAGGTTAAAAAAATTCATGTCTTTTTTTTACCCCCTCTCATTCAGCCTTACTCAGGGAAAGCCAGTGAGATAGAAGGTAAATATAAAACCACTAATTTACATTTGAGGTTGTAAAAAACGATGGTTGCTCCATTGGATCTACAGAACTTGACCTAGGTTCCATCTGGAAAGATTCTAAACTATGGTAGAAAATAAAAAATGGTATTTTTAAGCAGTATATCTATGGAGTGGTGTTGTTTGGGATTGATTTCAATGTTTCTTTCCAGCATAAATCTAAAAATTTCATGCAATGATGTAATCTAATACTGTCAGTAAAAATATTACTAATGCTATTGGCCTACACAAAAGCTAGCAATTTTTTTCTTCTTTCTTTTAAATGGAGAAAGAGAGGAACATGAGCTAGGGAGAGAAAAAGACACGAATAAAATCTCAAGTATCTTCATACCAAAAGTATCAGGGTTCCATGCATAGTTTGCAGTTAATAGAGGATTTCACACTACCTGGCATAAATTTGATTTCATCTCTAGACTGTAACTTTTCTGATTGAGTCTGCTTCTTTTTTATCCATGTAATGTGTTGCCTTTTTTAAAAAGAAACAAACACACAAATACTACAATAATGTGTGATGTGGTCAATCCCTAAGACATCAAAGAAAGGCCACATGACCCTCCCCTTCTAGTGCTCTGTGTGACTGGGTATCTAAGGGTTTGGTTTTGTTTCGTTTTTCTGTTGCAAGGCCAATTTATCCATTATTGGAAATGCTAAGCAAGTGGAATTTACTGTTTTGTTAATAAAATATTTCTTAATACAACTGTGGATTTATTGATTTTTAAAAAGTGTATGCAACATCATTTGGGGACAAAATGAAGGGCGGGGCGGATGCTGGGTGGAGGGGATCAGTGAGGGGAGAAAAGGGGACGTCTGTAATACTTTCAACAATAAATATAAATTAAAGAAAGAAAATCAATCCTAAGACAAGCAGGGAAAGAGTACTGACCCTGTTTTTGCTGGATTGTAATATTCAGTAAGGGCCTCTACAATCATCAGCTTAAAGATACAGCCACTTAAAATGTACCTTTGCTTACATCTGTTAATCTCGCTGTACACGAAACCACAGACTCATAGGACTAGTTAAAAACAACAAAAATGCTGATTTCATAAATATGGTTTTCTCTATAACAATGTAATTCAAGTTAAGTAAGTCTCTAATTAAATTCCAGCACTCTCACTTACTAGCTACAAGTTACCTGATTTCTCGGTCTCCCTTTTCTCATTAGTAAAGTAAAGGTAACAATACCAACCTCTTAGAGCAGCAAGGGTAATAAAAACTACCCCTGTGCCTAGCACAACTAACTGCAAAGAAAAGGTGGTTACTTGCATACTGTTATTTTCCATAATAATAATAAATTTGAGAAAACAATTCAAAAGGTAAAAATACAAAACACAAGTGTCTAAGGAAATACAGTTGTCCATTTTTCATATAACTTTTTCCTTCTTCACAAAAGCAAAGTGACTTTTTAGAAATCAGATGACCCATCAGTTACTTTCTGTATGTTTTAGTCCGTTAGTTGGCAACTGTATTAAAATTCTGGCCTTTGAGAATCATCAGACAGGACAGCATGAGTGGGCTTTTTCTCTTCTTCCATAGAAAAAGGTTTGACCATGAGCGCTGAATCCATTTGGTACCTCATTATAGATATCCTTTCTTTCTTAATATTAACTCATGACTTGGAAATATAATGGGGAAATAATCCACATTCTCTTTAATGTCTAAATAAAAGTCTACGTAATTTAGCTTACCTTAAAAATGTACAAAGTTTCAAAGATGGTGACTTTATAAGATTTCCTAGTAAACAGACCAGGATTCTTGAACTGTGGAGCATAGATCCCGAAAGCCCCACGATTACACATCAGGGGTTACTAACCTCTAACAATAGTTATAACATTTGGCAGATATATGTGGAGGAGTATTTTCTTGGAAAGAGTGAACACTTCACTTCTGTAAATCATTCAAGTCTATAATAATCTTTACAGAAATCAAGCAAAAAATACTTGATCCAAAGTTTTCAGTGATTTTTGCTAGGTCATCTGTGTAAAAATAAATCCAACAATTGTAAGCACAGGTGCAAAGAATGTCATGGGAGAAAAAGTTAAACTTTGCTTTTCTCATGTGATTTATATATTAAAACTGTAAAAAAATATAAGTTTTTCTACAATTAAATTTTTCATAAAGAATAAAATATAGAAGAGAAAAATACCTAGGGGTGGACTGAACTACTTAGAGGAATGAAATGGGTTGTCGTGGGATTATACAATTTTACATTAACAATTTAACCACTGAAGACACTCAAATTAAAATTTATTAAATACATACCTCTGAACCTAATGCACATATGAGAAACATGAGGTACACACTCTATAAGTTTCCCAAAGTAAGTATCAGCAAATAAAACAAATGAAATAATTGGAGGCTAAAGGGCTCTGTTAGGTTGGCATGCCTCACTACCTTCCACCTGTTCCTGTGGAATACCTAAAAAGCTTATCAGCTTATTATGCACAAAAATGATAAAATCTAAATCAAATGAATAAATTTGACTTCAACAAAGTGTGAGCAGTGAAAAAACCAAAGTAGAAAAGGCTCTCATTTTTTAAGGCAACATTCTTAAAACTATCATTTTTTTCTTACTATTATAGTGTGAAATGTTCCATATTTTGGCCCTTTCCATATATCTGACTTTAAAAGAATCTAGTATATAAAAATCTAGATAATTATGAGTTTAACAAAGTGATTTCCCATAAGATGCTTTTAAATAGCATATCCTTTTAATACATTTAAAATTGTATTATCTCTGCAAAAC